TCAATTACAGGCTTCTCTCATCTTTTTAAGTGGGAGAACTTGCACAAATGGTGGCTGACTAAATACTTTTTTGCCCCACTGTATGTATTTCCCCTAGAAGAGAAATAGAAATATTAAGGGAGACAGAAACACAGAGCTTTATCTCCCTGCCCCCAGCAGATATTTGGTGCCCATTGATAAGGATTGGTCCAGCCTATCTATAAAAGAAAAAACCTTCAGCTCCAGGGTGATGGGATTAAGACATGACCCTCCAGGAGATAATAGGATTATCTAGCATCAGGATTCACTGCATTACAAAATCACCTGAGGGGTGTTGCATCAGCCCAAAGTTCAACCAAACTTGATCCAGATAAACTGATTCCATATGGCCCCATGGGAGTCTGACTATAGCCAATAGAATACATGCTCTTGCCACAGGAACAGAAAGCTCAAAGGCAAGGCTCAAGAGAGGGTATAAATAACCCTCTCTCCACTCCATGTAGTCAGCTACCCAGAATCACACGCTTGGTGGTTCTGCTTCACCATTAAACTACCTTTCTAATCAGCCTCCAGGTTTCCAGTGTCTTTCTTCCCACTTGGAACTGAACTAGATTTCTTCTAACACTAGGATATTTATGACACCAAGTTCCCTCTATAGCTAGTCAGCACTGATCATATACCACCTACATATTTTAAAAATCCAATCTAGAATAATTGTATATTACATATCATGTTCTCCCCACTTTTTTTAGGCCAGTTAGTTTGAAGGAAACCTTTTGGGAACATTTTGCAAAGTGCTTCTCCTTTTCTCAAACTGTTTTAGTATAATCTTCAAAATTGGTGTTGAACTGCTCCCTATTAAATATAATGAGATAAATGTCAACAATATAGATTTTTGGACATTTCCAATGTTTTTTTTCCTCAAGTTCAGTAACTTTTATATATCTACTGCTTCATATACTCTAGAGACTTTGCCCTGCAACTTTTAAGACACTAGTGGAAAAAAGGAGGAAAAAAGTATTAAGAAAATATATAATAATTGTATTTTTATCAATGCTGGTAATATTTCTTTTAAAAAGACAATAATGGAAGGAAAATACAGGTATATATAATGGATAACATTACATGATATCCATCTGAAGGCATTTCTGTTCTTTAACCATTATAAAGCCTGTCACAGCACTTTCCTATCTACGATATACTTAGGAATTCTGAATTTGTCAGCATCTTTCTGAAAGTTTGAATGGGTCCAGACTGCTTGCTTGGTTTTATTTTTGTATTTCCTAACCTCCCATTCTTTTTAATTATCTGAATATATACACACTATTCAAGTGTCTTGTTGTAGGGTTGATTGTAAATGCCATTTAATGAAGACCTAACTTAACTTACAAGGCTGACTGTAAAACTTACAGATAAATAGCACTTATCGATGAACACAACCACAACTCATTTTTCATGAGGACCTTCAAGACTCTTCTGACAGCCCGAAACACGGCATGTCCGAAACTAGCAGCACCTACATTCTCACATGTAGTTTGCCGCCTGAAAAAGCACCTTTGGTTGTCCTTTGGGACAACCACGACCTGGATGACTGACAATCTCTACAAACTACATTCTTACAGTTTCCCTGCCCCTTATACGAAGCCTAAAATGTATCCATCTCGACTTCATCCCCCCCAAAGGGGGCTATTTCGGGACCGCCCCTCTCTTGCGCGCCCCACTCCTCCTCCTCCTCCATCACTGCTCTCTCTCTTTTCTCCCTTCGCCTCGCGCCCCAACGCCTCGACCAGCACCTGCAGCACGCGATATCCGCCGCCGTTCCGCGATTTTGGAACGAAAGGACGTGACGTCATAGGCGGGCGGTTCTAGTAGGCGTAAATCATAGAGAGGATCGAAGGGAAAGTGGGCGGGGCGGTCTCAATTCTTCCCCTCGGAGCGGCTTGGAGGTAACGGAAGAACTCCGGTGAAGGAGATGGTGGTGAGCGGGAGCGGGTTGTTCGTCTGTGAGCTTCGTCGACTCTTTTTGCCCGGGAACCTTAGGACTCTGAAGCGCTCCGAGCACTTGGCAACAGTTATTTGCCGCCGAGTTGGCTCCCTTCCTGATGCTTTGCTTTCCGTTCTCTTAACCCTCTGTTGTCGGTTCGCCCTCATTCATTTTCTCTTACTGAGTGATGCGAACCCAGCCCTTGGGGTTCAACATGTTATATGTGAATCCAGAACGTTGGATTAAATGAATAAACCGTGACCCAGTGCAAGTGTCGCGCGAATGCGGGCATTCAGTCTCCATCTCTCATTTACTGGTCTTTGCCCAACTACTTTTCTTTACAACAGATAAGACGAATTCTTTCTGAGCAGGGAAGGAAATCCCAATACAGACATTAAAAATAATTTGAGATGCTATTCTAGAGATACTTGATAAGGTCCTATTTGAAAAACCTGACACTTTGAATAAAAATCAAGATGTATTTCTTTTCATATTCGAGGAAGCCTCAGTTCACTGATTTAAGTAATACTTAATGTAGGAAAGTTCTCTAATAATTTATAACAAAAATGCACTCTTGTTGGTTGGCTAATCAGTACTTGGAAAAAGATGACAGATTTTATTTTTGGACAGGGTATAATACCGGTATAAATAAATCTTTTTCACATTCATTTTAGTTTTTAAAAAGGGGAAGTACGTACTTAGGGAGTTATTAGAAGCTTAATTAAACCAGCTGCAATTCAATTAATTATTGTGGGTCTTTAAAGGATATTTTTTGCCATGATGTGCTAGGAGATTAACCTTTACTAGCTCTCAATTCAACTTACCCCATCACCTCATGTTCTCTATTCATTGACCTTTTTAGTTGCTACATTAATGGTCTGACAGGAAATGAAATAAATATGTACCAATCACCACTGTTACTGCATATGTTTTTTAGGCACACGGGGGATACAGTCAAAAGTGTAGTTTGTTATTAAATATAGGAAATGTCATTGGTGAGTTTCTAACCTGATGATTCTTAGATTTGAATAAAGAATGGAGAAAAGTAGGAACAATAAAATAGTAAAAAATTAAACTTTATTAAATCTAAGAAACATTTTTCTTATTGTTATATTTTATTGCTTTTTTGCCTTAACAGAAATGAAAATAATTGGGACTTTAGAGGAAAAAATCTGAGAAAATGGAATAATGTCTTTGTTTACACTAAATATTGAATACTAGATGGCAACTTTCAGGTAAATTCTGAATTTAAGATACTTTATTAAGGAGTAAGTATTTAGTGTTAGGTCTTAACAATTTATTGGCAAACTTAAGCAGTCTGGTTTACATATAGCTGACTAAATATAGCCATTCTAGGGTGAAGGGAGCAGGTATGCAAGCTCTTTCCAGTATTCAGATAAGACTTTCAGTGGACTCTCTCAGTGGATTCTTTATATAACCTAAAGTACAAACCGAAATTATTCCTTTCAGCAAGGTACAATCCAACAACAATAAAAATGAAGAAGTAATAAACTAAAACCAGTTAAAATAATGCAAAAGTAATAAAATAAATATATACAATAACATATCTACAATTACAGTGAAAATAACTTAAAGCGTCTGCAAAATCCTAACATAAATGGCTCCCCACAAATAATGAGGTTTTGGCTCATATGGTGCAATTTTTAAATGGGATAAGTCAGATGCTAAATTTTGCTAGGTGAATTTGTGAACCAATCTGTAGTCTTATAAAAGCTGTATGCTTGCTCTTGATATCACAGGTTTCTAATCTTAATATCAATTGGGAGTTTTTCTGTAAAAATACTATAAAACAGTTGTGCATGTGAAAATCATTGTAGTCCAGATATTGCATCCATACATCAACATTATCTATACATAAAAGAAATATCTCCTGAGTCATTTGTAGTTCTTCGATCTGAAAATAAACTACAGTGCATGGTTTGGAGTGGGTGATGCCTTTCTTTTCTTGATTTGAAAAAGAAAGAGACACAAAGCAAAAATAATTGCAACAAATACATTTTATGAATAGCTTTAAGGCTACTTTAGAACCCTCAATTTTATAATACTATGGCAATGTAGTATGAAATAAAGCTTGCTTAGGTAAAGTTTTGGCAAATGTTTGCTAGTTTATTTCTGTATTATTTTTAGTTTATAGACTCTGTAAGTTGTAGTCTTCCCAATATTTAGTCTATAAAGCTATTGAAAGGTTAACTACTCACTACCATAAATTGTGTAATTCTTCAGTGATTTCCCCTTTTTTAATTGTAGGGTGTATATCATTTATCAAGTGTCTCAGTGTGATAGGGGTAGAAATTACGATAGCTTACTGTACCACAATTTTCATTTCTCCCCCAGCAGCTTTAAGGGAGGTGATTTCGGGATGGAGGCATTGTTGGAAAAAATGCAAACCCAAAGACATGGCAGGTGTGTATTTGCTATTTTTTGAAAATGTTATTAAAATAACATTAGATATCAAAGCAAAAATATATTACCTTCCTCCTTTCCCAAATTGTCAGTAAAAGCCACATTTATTAAATGCACCAATTTAGAGTGTGTTTTTTCCATTCCAATACAAAAAATCTGAATTTGAGAAGAAGAAATGTGCATTCATTTATAATTTGTATCCTTTTTTACTAAAGTAAACCAATTTAACCATGGTGTTGTTAAGTATTATTTTAAATAAACTTTAAAGAAAGTTTTTTAAAATCAGAAACAGCTGTTTTTGCTTCTTTCTTAATACCTTGTTTAAATGCAACTGCAAAGGGTGTTTAAAACAGTAGTACTATACTTATCTTTTAAAGTTGCTGTACAGATTAATTCAGGCTAATTATAGAGAGATATGTAAGCCATCTTAATGCGCACCTAAGTGCACTCAATGTAAAGTAATTCTCCTTAGGAATTAGCTATGTAGAACTAAGAATAGTTATTAGGTTATTCTAATTTTAGAACACATATCAGTTATGTTCAGTTTCAGAAAATTTTTATAATTATACTTATAGTTCTGATAATAATGAAAACACAGTACTCTATGGGAATCATAACTGTGGAAAGGTATAGGGAGGTTGAGTGCACCTATTATAATTCCAGAGATCACTATTTAGAATAGGGATAGGTAATTAATTTTCCCAAGGGGCCACATGAGAAACTGAGACTGTTGTGGAATGCCAAACCAATATAACCTGATTTGATGTCCTCAAACTCCATCACTTCAACTCCTGAGGCTGTTCCAGGTGAGGAACAAGTGCTGTGCAGGTGCAGAAAAAGTGCTTTCCTCGCCCTCCCATGGCCACCAGCCAACTAAAGGAGCACGGCAATTATGCCGAGATGGAGCCATTCTCCAGTCCCTTGCAGTGCACTTATTCACATTGACCTCATGCAGGCCAGACAGGGTCAACTAAAGGACAGATGTGAATTGGGGGGGGAGCGTGAAATGCCCAGGTCTCATTTAGATTAATTAATGAAGTAGGTGTATATTTGTTTTACGATAGAAGTTTAAAAAAATCCTGCTTTCTTGTAGAGCAGGAATTCCCAGCCCCAGGCCATGGACTGGCCCTGGTCTGTGGTACTCCAGAAACTGGGTCGTGCAAATGAGTGAAGCCCCATCTGTGCATGTGCGGGATGCAGGCAGCATGCAAAATCATGCCGCCCTCAGGTCCACGGAAAAATCACTCAGCATGGAACCAGCCCCTAGTGCTCAAAAGATTGGAGGCTATTGTAGAGAACTTGAAAACACAAAAGATGCAATTTTTTGTTCACTGAGATATTAGATCTCACATTTGGACCTTAAATATCCTAATTCAGCCTGTATAAAAATCTGAATCTCTTACATTTTGATGTCAAAATTGGTAGAAGTAACATTGGTAGAAGTAAAAATGAATATCGTGTCATGGGTAAGACTGAGACACAATTAGAATTCACAGATTCTGGGACAGCACTGTTGCAAGTTAATATTTCTGGTATGTTTCAGAAGTGAATGTTTTATACAATTTCCCTTCTACTGAATGCAATGAGAGCTTTTTTAAAATAATCAAAAATAAGCAGGAAAAGAAAAAATGCAATTCGTCTTTGTTTTCAGCTTGCTTGTATAAAAAATAGCTGCATTTTGAATTTGTTCAGTTGGTTCATTCATTTTAGATCTGCTATTTGAGTAGAATTACACTGTAAATTGTTTTCTATTGATTAAGACGATAATGTTTTTCCTTATATGTTTGCTATGCCTTTGCTTTGAAAGAACTAAAATCTCCAGTCAAGGTTTTGAAAAGCTTGAGACATTCATTTCCACTAACTGTAATTGTGTTTTCTTATCAAATTATCTTTTTTTCCATTTGTCTGCATTAGGTTTGAAGTTTCCCTCCCCCAAAGTTCAATGTCATATGACTGCATTGCTTAATGATGGCAGTTCCAACACTTCTAATTAAACAAATCTCATGTTACCATTAAGTGTGATGCCACATCTCCATTTCCAATCTCTTGCTGGCTTCCCCATTGAATTTGCTTGTCGGAAGCCAGCACTAAAGGTTGAAAATGCTGTTGACGTGACTATAGATGCTGTTACAGGCACTATTACAAGGACCAGTTGTTCAGTTTTGTGATAACTTTGAATAGTTGTTAACAAGTGATTGTTAAACAAGAACCATCTATACTTATTTTGGTTCCACCACAAAACCGTGTTCGACTAAAGGGCGCTCGACGAAACCGCGTAGCTGACGTCATCACAGCGCGA